GTTGGGTCACCTCTCTTTGGATTAATTAATCTCCTTTAGATTAGCAGATATCTATTGCTAATTATCAAAGAATGAACCCAGTCTCATGTTGTAACCATGAAACATCTGTTTGCCCCAGATAGATAAATAGCTAGACAGATAGATCCAGCAAATAGGAGCAACAGATGTGGCTACTCCTCAGACATAACCAATCACTTCATGAGATTAGTGTTCTTGGCTGGAATACGTAAGGCCTTAGCCTCATGTGCCAATGTGGTGAACTGATATAGCATAACTCATAAAGTTCATGTTCTACATCTAAGGTTGTTGAGTATTGGTATTTATTCATCTGGAACATAAGGGAATAAAGGAAATCCAAGAATCAAAGAAAGAACTAAACTACAGGACTAATTTTCTCCATGAATTAAAGTCTCCTCTAGCTTGAGACCAAAGGACTTGATGGTCCCCAGCTACCACCATCAAACATTCTGATCAGGGTCACAACAGATGGATTCTGATAGGGGAAAAAATGTGGAACATAACTTCAAAGTCTCAAAGAATCCAGACCTACTGGTCCCATTGAGACTTGAGGAATTCTCAAAACTATTACCCTGAAATACTCTTTAAACCTTGAACAGTAACCATCATCTGAAATCAGCTTTGAACTAAATAACTCAAAAAGTAAAGAATTTTACCCTTGAGAGCCGCACTCTTTTACAATTATCCAGATGAGGCCAAATGGCCACCACTTACTCTAAAGCAAAGATGTAAAGTTCAGGGTAGTAGTGAGATTAAATTCATGGGAGTGGAACTAGAAAAGAAATTAGAATGCTGACAAATTGAAGAATGTAGCCAGTGCCACTGAACACTCTGTGTAGAAATCGTTAAATGGGAGCCACATTTGCTGTGTATACTTTCACACACATAATACATTTTTTTAAAGAACTGTCTCTTGACTAACTTGCTCTAGACTTATACTGTCCAACATGGCAGCTAGGAGCCACGTGGCTCGTCTGAATTGATGTGTTGTAAGTTTCAAAAGGAGCACTGGTGGTACTGAGGGTTAGGTATGGGGCTGCTAACTGCAGGGGCAACAGTTCAAACCCACCCTTCTCTACCGGAGAAAGATGAGACTGTTTGATTTACATACAGGGTTGCTATGAGTCGTAATAGATTGTCTGGTAGTGAGTTTTGGTAAGTGTAAAAGACACACCTGATTTAACAGATTTAATACAAAAAAATACATATTTAAAATATTTTAAAATAAAAATTCTTCAAGAATATGTTATCTTGCTGAAATGGCAGTAATGTTAATATTTTGGATAAAAGAAAGCATATGCTGTTATTGCTGTTGGTGAGGGCTGTGAAGTTGATTCTGACTCATAACGGCCCCGTATTTGGTTTCCAAGGAGCAGCTGATAGGTTTGAACCTCTAACCTTGAGGTTAGCCATCCAGTGCTAATCCTACAGTGTCACACCAGGACTCACATTGACTTCACTGGGTTTAGTTTATATATTTTTAAATGGATATAAGCAACCTCATTTAATGTTTTAATTAACTACTAAAGTAATAAAATTAAAAATTAAATAACTCTATTCTATGTTTAGATATTCATATTTTGAATGTTTGGGATTGACTAAAATGTTAAAATTAATGTCATGAGTTTATTTTGACTTGCTGTCATGTGGCCGCTAGAAATGCTAAATGACACACATGACTCATGTTACTTTCACTGGGCAGCACTGCTCTCAGGAGAACCATGGCTTCCAAGGGTTGACCAGTCACAATTTAGAACCCTGCATGCCCAAGATGGCAGCCAACACAAGCCTTCCTGGCACACAGGTCAGACACTGCTATCACATTCCTCCCTCTTCAGGACAGCCAACTCCAGTTCTCTTTGCCTCATCCCACTTCCTCTCTCACCAGGGCAAATGAAAAGCTGGGGCTGGGCCCAACCAACACCATGAGCTCTTCAGCTGACCTGGGCTGCTCACATGGACACTGGGTCACTCCCAATCTATGAGATTCCACCATAGCTTCCCTACAACTACCATCTCCTTCTCTACAATTACCATCTCCTGTTCCTCTTAATATCTCTTCTTATATAAAAAGGACACTGGCCCCGCCCTGGAGCTCCTTCAGGTCTTCTCTTTGGGTAGAAATATCTCTGCCTTTGAGGATTTACCTCACCAGTGAATAGGTCAGGGAAAGCTCACTAAATGGCCTTGCTTGGAGGTCAAGGACTTACGAGACAGGGACTCTATCAGAACGAGAGTGCTGGACCTTTTTCCTTTGTGGACACTAAATAGGTTGCCTGAAATGGAAGAGGTGCCCCAAAGAAGACCGAGGTGGAGTCACAAACAAGAAAGTCAAAGAGCACCTCAGAGATAGACTAGCAAGTCAAGAAGAGTCACTATAAGTTGGGGGAGAGAAAAATCCTCATCTTCCTTTGAAGATAGGATGCCGAAAGTCTCAACCACTAGGAAGTTCCTTAATATGAGAGTTCAGGAACCTCACAATCAAGTTAGTCCGGATCCTAAGACTGGGGCTGCTACATCTTAGATGCATGGTCATGGACAAAGGAAAAGATAGCGGCCTGATGCCATGGACGAAGACAAGTGGGAGGAGGGACAGGGAGGAGAGATGAGTCTGAGTCCTGGGGATGGAAAGAGGCAAATCCTGATGCCTACTCAGCTTTGCTGGCACATTCCTCCCACCCCCCAGACCTGATCAAGGTTGGGGTCAGGTGTTGGAAGTGACACAGGGAGACAAGTTTAGCAGGGAGTTCTTACCTCCACTGGGCAGGGGGCTGGTTGGGGAGGTTGTTTCCATCTCTTCAAAGGCCTCCTTATAGCTGTGCAGATGGGGCTGTTGGGGAAGAACAAAGGGCAGGTAAAACGGGAGAATCCACCAGTGGGCATGGCCCTGAGGAGGATGGACATGCTTTCGATGGTCTAGGAAACAGGGACAGTGCGGTAACTGACCCACAAACCCTTCATCAACCTGAATACCCTCAGATTCTCAGGTCAACAGAGGTTCAATGAGATCTGAGCCACTTGCAGCCCCAACAACACCTTGTCACTTGTGAGCGTGAGCAAGTGATTGCTCTCAAGGCCATTGTCTAGAGTTGGTGAAATTTGGGAGCCTCTACCTTAACAGCCACAACAATCTTGGAAATATTTCAGGACAAGGCATCAGTGAAAGAGAAGGGACTAGGGGTCAGGGGCTACGGTTCTGTTAGAAGGCAGAAGAAAAAAGATGTCCAAATGCTATTTGTATCGAGAATGGCTTGATCTAGAACAGCTAAAATATCTCTTATCCACGGTACATGTTAAAAATGCAGACTTCAAGACCCATTCCAGATTTCCCACATCTCTGAGGTGAACTTGAAAATCTACATTTTTAATAAACTCCCCGGGTAACTGTCTACACTAAAGTTTGAGACCAACTCCCTCTAACTACTGAAATGTCTCAGAATGCAAACACGTTAGCATTCAAGTTATATCTGCCAAGGAAACCCTATATGATCTGGTTTGGAGTTTAGAGATTGTGGTCACCACCAGAAGGCTAATCACAAAATTGGCAGTTCAAATCCACCAGTTGATCCTCAGAAACCAACTCACTGACATTAACAGAAACAACAACATGTCATACCCAAGGAACCTAGTAGCGCAACAGTCAACTGCTAGCTGAAAGATCAGTAGTTCAAACCCACCAGTAACATCTCAAGAGAAGGGCCTAGCAATCTGCCCTTCAAAAGATGAAAGCCTAGTAAACTCTCTGGGGCAGCTCTACTTGGTCACTGTAAGTTGGAATCAATTCAGTGGCACACAACAGCGTGGCATAGCTTGCATCTTTAATCATCCTATCAAAGGACTATCTTCAAGGGTCAAGAAGGAAACTTCAATCTCAGTGTTAATGTGATACATATCAGGGAATTAAGGCATAAAAGCTCTTTGTGTCTGAGGTAGGGGAAACAGTCCAGATTCCACATGCCAGAAAAGAAAAGATCGTGGGTGAGGTTGCAGAGAGGAAAAACATCGCTATAGGTTTACTGACAGGTCAGCCCTAGAGCTCTAAAGTGGGCTCCACTCCTCTCTTGTGACCCAGGAAGAAGCCAAGGGCTCACCTCTTTGGGGCGCCCTCCAGGATTGAGGGCAATGGTAAGAGCCAGCTCCGGGGAGACACATTGAACAGGGGAGCGGACTCCGGGGCTCCGAGGAGATGTGGGTTCTGGAGACTGGTTCTCATATTGCCCATCGCTGGCTGCCCGCCTCCTGAGAGGGGCTGGGGGCTCTGCAGGCTGCTTCTCCCGAGCCTGTACCCCTGTGAGGAATGGCAGACATGAGAGTCATAAGTATATTGTATAAGAAATGAACAATAGGGCCTAGTCCTCCCAAAGAAGGCAGTCATATTAGCTCAGGGGTGAGCTGGAACGAGTCCCTCAACACTTCCCCAGCCTTCCTTGGCCCAACTTAGCTCACATGGGGCTGTCTTTGAGGGCGGGGGAATCTGCTTAAACTGGGCTCAGCCATTCACCAAGAATCTCCACTCCATATTGCCTTGGGGCCAAAAGCCAAAAGGGCTAATACATGAAACAGATGTCAGCTCTATCCAACCCCTGGAGGCAGAGGCCAGAGCTTCTAGGCAAGGAAGGGAAGGTGGTGGGAGGGAGAGACAGTCTCCAAGGCAACTGCATCAACCAACAAGCAACATCAAACCCTTGGGGAAGAACTACTGGAAAGAACAGAGAATGAATCATCCTGAACATGGTGCTCCCAAAGAGAAACAAAGGACCAATTAACTGCTGTCACGGGTCCCCAGGCCCAACTGGTCCCTGGGATGGCTGATCTTTCTAGGGATCTCCAACCTTCAGCCAGTGCTCCTCCGAAGCCTCTCCCCAATCTCCTTTGTAGCGATCCCTCAGCTATCCACCCCGGTTCTTGACCCAAAGACAATGGAGGCTGCCAGCGGAAGAGCAGGGAAGGAGAGCCCTGAAGTCATGTCCACCATCTGCTTTTCTGCAATTCCCTTCCCACTCCACAGGCCTGGGACGGTGTTAGCTTCACCAGCCTTCCATCCCACTCACACTGCCAACAGCTGGGTGAGGCATGGAATCCTCTGCCTCATTGAGCCGGTTCCCAGAATCCTGGAAAACTTAATTTCCAGGTCCCAGAGGCTAAGACCTCACCCCGGGCTAATGGGAGGCTAAACTCTTGATCATCATTATCTTCCAGGAGGAGAATCTCTGCTCTGCTTTTACCACCATCAGTCAGGGAAGGGAAGATAGCTGACTGATAGGTTCTGGGACTTACCAAAGGTCCCAGGGCACGTGAGACTGAGGTCCTGGCCACACCAGCCTCATCCCAGCACATCTGAGAGCACTGCCCCATGGCATACTTGTGTGCATGTGTGGGCATGCACACACACATACACTGCTGGTCCCCAAGAATGTGCCAGGAAGTAGAAATCACATGCATTTAGGTGGAAACACTTTTTATCATCCACAGTGGGGTCTTCACGCCCTCAGCTCAATGGGTACCTCCTGGCACAGCCATGAAAAACACAGGCTGGAAAGCTTCCTTCTAACTCATCATGAACAACAGGCTGCCAGTTGCCAAGTGCTGGGACAAGCACACAAAACAAACACAAGTTACTCTGAGATGTGCACTCACACTTGTCCAGAATGGGGGCTCCAGAGAGCCCCTCAGAGGAGCAGCAGAATAGGCCCAGCATCTGGACAGAAAGTCCAAGGCAGGACTCTGAGTCTCACTTTGGATCCTTCACCATTCTGAGGTAGTGTTGACGTCTCCATGGAGAAGGAAGAGGCTGATGAAAGCAGGAGCTGGACTCTGCTCTCCCTGACGCCCACAAATGACTTTCCTCAAGGTACATAAATCTCAACAAGCCCTATCTTCTGAGAGGAAAACGGAGGCTGCATGTTAAAAGCCTTACCCAGATGAAGGCTGGGACGCGGCTTGACAGAGTGCACTGCATAGGAATTGTACCATCACAGTGCAGATGCTGCTCTCCCTCCACCATGCTTCCCCACCCCCAAGCCCCTTCCCCCAACAGGCCCCCTGGGAAGCTTGGTCCAGAACTGCCACTGGTTTTGTTCCTGGAAAAACATTAGAGGGAAACAGACGTACCCATTGATTTTCTAATAATAATTGTGACAAAGAAGGCCCATTTGGGAAAGGCTCTTGGGGGTTGGAACAGAGTCGAGCTCCAAGGTTAAAAGAAATGCATTAGGGCTGGTCTCAGCTCTGGGCTCGCATCCCCGGGACAGCCTCTTTCTGGCAGATTCCTTGGCCTTTTCAAGAGGCAGCAAGTTTCCCTGTTTGGAGGTTTAGTGTTTGTCTCCATTTGAGGGGCAAAGAACATTCTCCCTGCTCTGCTCGACATCCTACATGTTCCCATGCCATAGTGGAGGCTGCAGCACCAGTGGACTGGGGGATGAAGCTGACCTGCAGAAGTGATCTCCAAATGTAGAGGGCATGGGACATGCCGAGAATCCTACCTTCTCAATCCCCTTTCTCCTACACCACCTGTTTTGCACTTGGGAGACAACCAGGTGGACAGAAATAGGGAGACCCCACATTCCACCCCAACAGAGCCAGCACCTCCCCCACAGAACAACCCACCACACCCATGGCCAGCTAGGGGCGTCTCAATCTTTGGACACAGTATTTCACTGTTGTTCCCTTGGCAGGCCCAGATCTGCCCTTAAGTGCCTGGAAAGCCATGTTCCCTCTCTTTCCTTTTTCACGATGGGAGGGGAGACAGAGCATGGCAAAGGGGAGAGAAAAGAGCCCCATTGTTCCTCAGCCAAGCTGGAACGTCTGGAGGCAAGCGGACAGCCGTCAGAAAGAGAACACCCTCTCTCATGTCCCAGAGCCCAGAGATGAACTGATAGCAATAATGGCTGGCTGACTTTTATTTCCCCCACTACTCTTCGTACTCAAGGAGCTCTGGTAGCATAGTGACTACGAATAAGGCTGCTAATCTCATGGTCAGCAGTTCAACACTACCAGCTGTTCTGTAGGAAAAAGATGAGGTTTTCTGCTCCCATAAAGATTTACAGCCTCGGACACCCTGTACAGGGTCGCTATGAGTCGGAACCGACTCCACGGCACATAACAACAACAACTCTTCATACTCTACTCCTTCACACCATGATCTCCAGAACTTTCTCCATCTCCTGGTCCTGTGCTCTCTCTGAGCGCCTCTGATTCTATGTACTCCCTCCCCACAGACACATGGGTACACACACAGGTACGTACCCAGGCATGCACGGACACACACCACATTAACCCAACAGGAATGGCAGTAGGACACTGGAATGGTGGGGCATTGAGTCACCCTCAGGACAGCTGCATTCAGTCCTGCCCCAGGAGGAGACCAGCCTAATGGTCTGAAGAAGTGAAGGAGGAAGATAGGAACGGAAGCTGATCCTGGGGACTAGGGAAGGTCCTGCCAGCAGGCTACTGATTCAAGTATCTTGCCCAGAGTGAGGAACGGGGAGCTCTGACTGTTCTCTAGACTAGCACCGTTCATTTCAAGAGCCCCTTGTGGTTCTCTAGGGCTGCTTCACACATTATCTCTGAGGAAGAAACCTTATCCCAGGAGTCCCCTTTCTCAGTGAGTCCTCCCACTGCACCCCAGGGTGGTGTTGTGCTTAGGAAAAGCTTACCCCAAGTGTCCCTCAAAGGAGGCTGGAGACAATGAAGGCCCTTCTTCAAATACACACCCACAGACACTACTCTGATTCTGGGAGCTACAGCCCTAATACAAATCAATAGCCACACTTTGATATAACACAGACATCTGACACCCCTGGGTCCCAGGCACGAGGGTAAGGCGTTATCTGCAGATCCCCAGATGGGCCACCTCCATCCCACAGACCCAGTTCTTCTTTCTCTCTCCAGCCTTCCAATTTCCAAAAGACTGGGGTCCTCAGCTCCAGGTGGCAGGGCTGGGTGTCCGGCTGTGTGCCTGGGCTCCAGAATCGAGGGATCCGGGCAGCCACCTGCTGAGCCAGGGCACCAGAAAGCCACACGGCAACCATACTAGCAGCCCCAGGACAAGCCATGCCAGCTCCCCTCAGGGCAGGTCCACTACCCCAGAACCTGCCCTACATCCCAGGCTCCAGTGTACACTGCCCTCCCCACCCATGGGCTGAGAGAAGGAATGGAGAAAAGGAGGGAGGTGGAAGTCTACAAAAGTCATCTCCCAATTATCCACGGATTGGGGTGATCCGTGAAAGCCTTAGACATGATCACTGGGAGCCAACAGCCCCCTCCCGCCCCCCGCCCCCCGCCTTTCAAGCTTTTTCCTGGAACTGCTCAAGTTAATGGCATGGGTCAATCTAAGAGCACCTTCTTCTTCCCCAACCTTAGCCTCCAGCCTTGGAGAAGCAAGGCAAAGGATTGGGTGGGATCCTTTTTTAGTAGTAAAAGCTTATGGGCCGTATGTACAAGAGAGGAGGAGGTCAAAGTCAATGGACTACATTATCCTCAAATTAAGTCACCCAAATCCTGATGAGGGTGTACCACGTCTACGGTGTGTCACAGCCACTTTGCCAAATACAAGAGGCAGGGCTCATCACCTCTCCATTTTTCAGATTAGGAAACTGAGGTCTGAGTATTTCAAAGATCCACTACGGTCACAGAGGGGGTCACAGGCAAAGCCAGGGCCACAACCTGGGACTCTAACTTGTGGCCCCAAGTATCAGAATCAGACATTCAGGTGGGGGGTCAGTCAGGGTATTCTACCCACGTGGCGTCCTATTCAGGAATGGACAGAGCAGTAAATGTTCTTGACCTGTGCCCGGTGCCCCAGGCACAGCCCAGCCTGGTCTCCCAGGAGAATCTGGCCCAGCCTTCACTGAGGAGCATGGGAACCCTCATTACAAAGGTCTGCATCTCCAGGGGGAACGTCCAAAGCAAGTCTAGTTCCGCCAGATCCCATTACCAGCAGGCAAGGCCAAGGCTGAAAGCATCAGGCCTGCGTCCATGCAAAAGTGGGAGTACAGCTCATGCAGGGAGGGAGGGTGGTGAGAGGGTGGTGGGCAAGGAAAAAGGAGAGGGACAGTGGGAAAAGGAGAAAAGAAAAGAGAACAAGATGGAATGAAGGTGAGGAAGAAAAGTGAGGAAGAAATGGAGAAGACAGAAGGAGGAGGAAAGTGAGTAAGAGACTGGCAGAACATGGCAGAAAGAGGAGAGAGAAACCACAAACTGAAGCGAGGGGCAGAGAGCTCTAAAAGAAGAAGGGAGGAAAGAAACCTACCAGAGATAGAAGAGGATCGGATCTGGTGGAGAGGAGGG